ACGCTGTGTTTTGTCTGAGAACTAGTGACCTATCTACGCTAAAGCTGGATCGGTTTTGAACGAGTGTGTCGGAAGGAACGATACTATAAAAAGGATTGGGTGGTTTCTATTCCGATTCTGGTAGTTTAGATTCCGATTTTTAAATCCGGGATCCACCGATTGATACCAGCGCTTAAAATCGGGTTGTATTTGAATGAACTAGTTGAAAGAAATGATATCTATCGGATTCGAATATCGTCATTACCGCAATACGAATCCTGTTAAGACTTTTAATTCTAGCAACGATCTACAAGTTCATAATCGGGGTGTGGAACTTGGAGTATAAACGGTTTGTGGATTCATGTTGCTATTTAAACGTTAAATTTATCGTAGTTGACGAAACCTAGGGAGTAAAAATAGTACTGAAGCATTAAATATGTCAAAAAAGGTTTAGTGATATAGAACAAAGCAAACTTCAGTCAGACAAGCTGTCTCTAATTCAAACAGTGGCAAGGGAAACTGTAAACTAAATCTCCGTTATTGGGTGTTGTGGTGTTACTCCCAAGACCGATCCAAATCACAAAACCCTTCAAACTCAAGTCTAGGCACACTGTTTGTCCAAAAAGCTTATATATAATTCCCAGTAGGACATCAGAAGTTGTATAAAAGTGCCAAAAGGTTCTAGTCGATATAGCACTTGCGGAGGGGTATCAGTTAATACTCATCAACACCCATTCCCTCTAGTTTCATGCTACAATCGTCATGGCCGCGCCACAGCAAAATGTATCCACAGACCACTGGCATACTACGGATAGTAGATCGTTCTTAATTTGAAGTCTTTAAAATTAAAATCAGTACCTGAATCCTAACAAGAGCGCCTTTTGAACCGCTAGTTAAAAATTAACCCTGTTGGCTTTTGTTCGAGCTGGTATCGAAACCGTCAAGTTCGGGTACAGGAATCTAGTCCATTGGACCCGGGAAAAATCCTAATTTGTAACTTTGTACATAATCCGCCTTCAGAAAGGACAACACAAATAACCCTAATAGATATACTTCACGGGCAGCATATTCAGTAATAATTTTATCATCACCGATTTTATACACAAACATGAACACCAATATACACAATAACCACACAATCATCCAGATGTGATCTTGCTATTCAACTAATTTTCTTTGTTTCACATGTCAGAGACACATACTCTACAATCTCGGCAATCTGCAACCAACAAAGCACGCTGGCAGGTCGTTGAGTTTTTTGACATTATATAGGTTTTCTACGTACCTATGCCTGATTCATTTGGGTCTCCAAAACGCACAAAGCCAAGACGAGATTTCCAAAAAATGTGTCAGCGGCCCTTGCCCCGCTTTCAAATTGTCTCTAGTGACAAAGTATGGCCCCTTCAGCCGTAGCCCCTGAGCTTCCTTGCAGTTTGGAATTCTTTTTGCTTATCATCAAGTAGCTTTCACATGTGCCATGACGCACTGTAAATGGTGAAGCAGTCTTACGTAGCATTTACTTTGCTCAATCCAGTTTTTGGTATCTGGAACTGATGAAGCAGCCTCCTGTTATTTGGTTCATTGCTGTCGTTTCTGTAGACTATGACACGACTTACACATACTTTTTAAGCACAGTTATTGAACCATATTTCTAGTTTGTCTAGGATATTTTGCACCCTCACCACTCCAACTGATACCTTTGTTTCACAGGAGCTAGTTTGAGTAATTCTCGATTTCTTATACTAGGAGCTTTTCTGAAATATATTCCTTCTTGATTATTTCCAAAACCTACAGCCAAGTTAATCGACATATCTTATATTGTATCAAGAAACTTCCTGACAGTGACATAAGGCAAAAGTCACACGATCAGTATTTGCTGTGATCCGTCAGTATTTATCATGGAATGTGATATTTATTAGCCCTGAACATAAAGTTTCGTAGGAATCCAGAAAATAATGAGCGTGTGACATTCGCCTAAGGAACAAAAGTAGCATCATTACTATGTGGTGAAAGTTGAGTTTTGATTTTTACCTGCCACTTCTACATTGCGATTGACATTCGAGGATATTTTTTTCAAACAACTTCAAATTAAATGAGAAACTAGCAAATATGAAATTGTTTTATTTTTAATTCCAAGTCCGATTTGTTAATTATATGGGCACTGGTTAGATTGGCGTAGCTCGGAAATTTTCATGTTCGCCGAAGTCACATGATACATTAGACATTGATAAGAGATACGCGTGTGTGTATACTACAGATGACTGATATCCGAACGGTATCGAAAATATAATAAAAATATTTTTTGAATACAGTCAGGTGGTACTCAGAACTGCCATGTGGGGTCAACCATTGGTGCAAATATTTTGTCAACACTTGTGGGATCAAAAGAGAATTGTCAGTATGGAATTCAAATACTTCCTAACCACAACTCAAGTATATATATATATATATATTGTTTCCATTATTATCCATTTATTTCTATATTGCACGTGTCGAGCACAAACATGGCGCTGCCATCGCGTACACAGCCAATAGCAATATACTCCAACAAAAAATTCGTCACCCTATTTCTTCAACGTGTTCTGTTACACCAGTCCACAAAAACCCAGATAGGTCACCTAAGTCAATCAAAACCTGGTCTTCACGTGGTGCCTGCCAAGCTGCAAAGCGGAATAAATGTGTTGTAGTAGTAGCGGTAGGTTTTTTGTCGCCACCACTAGTAAATCTACCTGCACTCTCTCTGTTTGACATACCATCTGCGATCAGTGTCGTACCAATCTTTTGGGGGATGTTATGATCCTAGCAGTTTAGAATGAACGAACCTTTTACATCTTCGAATCGCGAAAAATTTCGAAATTGGGATGTTATGTTTTTTGGATGTTATATATGACACCACATCACGAAAAACCATGTCAATCTTTTCCGTCAGTGTGTCTGTCGGTCTGTCCGCTAATTTTATAACCTAAAATTTGAGAAGCACGGCTCGGATTTTGATGGAATTTCCACACCTGGTTACTTCTATGCCAAGGATGAAAAAGCTTTGAAGTTTTTGAAAATCAGTTCAGTGGCGGCGGAGCTATGGGCAAAAACACGAAAAAATAAAAATCGCTAAAACTTAGGATTTTTGACGTTTTAGAGGGTCTTTTTGGTAAGGGAAATTTGGGTGTTAAGAGTTGTAGGAGGTGGGGAGGGAATATGATTTTTTTCATCCTAGTATATTTATACGCTCCTAACTCCGACAATGCTATGCACCTATCAGCCGTATTTCACACAACATAGATTTACCCGTATATTCGCCTTTAAAACTTCGAATGATAGAGAAATGTTTCGGTCCGCGTACTCGTGTCTATCAAAGCGAACCGCCCGGCGAACCAGTCCTGCTTATATACGAGCTATGTCTCGCCACTTTCAAAACTACGTTTTTCTTTTTATGAAATTTGTCATGTTATCGGAAACGTATTGAAAACAAAAATGTATTTCTGATCACATAAGATATTTTTATTTAATATTAGCCTAAAATACATTTTTTTGTAACAAAGAAAAAATATCTTACAAATTAAAAAAAACTGCCGATTAATGAAAATCAACGAAACCAAATAGCAGCAAATCACAACTGCATTACATCGCCTTTTCGACTGAACTGCTTCGATACGTCTTGACATAGTGTCAACTGATGTTTGGCAGTCATCTGGTGTAAAACTGTTCCAAACTTCTTGGAGACGGGTTCGCAATTGTGGAACGGTTCTTGCGGGATTCGATCGGAGCTTTTTCTTCATGATATACCACACGGTTTCAATCGGCTATTTGGATTACTCGACGTCGATTTTAAAACTAAAATATTGTTTTCGAACATCCAATCTTTTACTTTTTACCGTTATGGCAAGCGGCATCATCTGGTTGGAAGATACATTCAATATTCATTCAATATGTTGTTTAAACTTATTTGTTCAATTTGGGGTATTAAGTTATTTTGAAGCACATTAATGTACTTATCAGCATTCATAATACCTTCCACAAAGTGTAAGTTTCTCACTCTACTTGCTGACATGGATCCAAAAATCATAACAGAAGCCGGAAACTTGACTTTTTTAAGACAGTTATTCTGAAACACTTCTTTAGTTCTTATAACACGACTCCTACTATCACCAACGCATAGTTCAAATCTGGCTTCAATACCCCAAATAATGGAATTCCATTGGTTCGGAGACCATAATTTGTGTTCTTTGGCCCACGCTAGTCTGTTTTTCTTCTTAATCTTTGTCAGTAAGGGTTTGTCTTTTGCCTAGAAATGGCCTAGAAAAAACGAATAATACAAAAATAATTTAAACCTAACTTGCAAGTTTTTAATCACAGTTTTTGGGCAGCTCTGAGACAAGCTGCTCTTGAAAACTTTTTGGCTGGCTGATTCCATTCGTTATAATTAGCACAGATCCCGTTGTTTTGTACCATTTAATAATATTTAATATACCTCCATTTGTTAACACTGTTAGCGATTTGGCAAGCATTTTGGCCTTTTAAATGCAAGTGAATGATCACTTTTCTTATTTCGTCAGAAACTGCTTTACCACAAGCCATTTTTAATTGTTAATAACAACACCGATGATTTGAAAGCTGATTTAAACGTCAAAGAACCAGCTTCTTATCAACGTGAAATGTTATCATTTGTTTTACAAAGCCTACCTTTATTATTTAAGCGAATAAACAGACCATTCAACTTAAGTTGTCTCCATCATGTATTTTGGTATACACAAATCAATTTGCGAAGAAGACAATTTTGGAATAAAAACGCTTTAAAAATAGCTGCGTCGGTTTGGTCATCTTGCCATAAACATTCAAAGAAACAAAAAATTTTACATTTGAAATAAAATTTTAATTAGCCCCTAAATAAATTCACAAATATGCTTTGGGGCATTGGGCCAACTTCACTGAGACAGGGTTTGTATGTATTAGTACTGAAGCCCAAAAGACATTCGGAGCTTGAAAATATCTACTTGACTCCATGTTTATTCCATTTGTTCCAGGCCGTCATGCAGCATACGACCTCGTCTCCTCAGCAGTTTTGTCTGCGATGGAACAACTACCAATCAAATCTCACCAATGTCTTCGACCAACTGCTGCAAAGCGAATCATTCGTCGATGTCACGTTGGCATGCGACGGACACTCCGTCAAGGCGCACAAAATGGTAAGCAAGAGTTTTTCCCAGAAGACCTCTTTAGACTTATCTTTTTATGTAATGCCGCATCCGCACGTATGGCAAACCTTCACAAACTCAAACTTGCGGATAGAGCGTTTGGCTTGGTTTGCGTAGGTTTGTATGCGCTCGTGGTCGATCCTATCGAGTGTCGGCCTTTGGTCTCAAATCAAAGGGGTTTATTCAGTAGTAATCTGGGTCACACTGACCTCTGACCTTCTGATCTCATCTGAATTTCATTTAGCTCAGCTCACTAGGTACTTGGTTCAATTGAATTAATCAATGAGTTACCTCTTTTTAGTTGTTTAACTCAGCAGCAAGAACTTACGCTGTAGTTCTATTTTATAGTACATTTGTAAGAATAAAAATAAAAAAACCAAATTTATTCAATAAATAATATATTCTTTAAATCACATATGAAAAAGATTAGCGATTCAGTAGGAAATTACTTAATTTCAATCTTAGTCAATAGTTTCCATTCCTGTGAAGAACTGACATTTTGTCTTTTTCCTTTCTATTTGATCCGGAATTTATGAATTTGTAACATCCACCATCATCTTGGCCGTACCTTCCGTTTTCTTTGATTTATTTCTTTGTTTTTATAAGCGATAATAAGTTTTTTAAGTTAGTTTATCTAAATGTTTTTTCCGACACGTTCGATGTCCGTCACGCGTTCCACCTCAGAACACACTACCGAACCCGCAAACGTGCGGATGGCGACGTTTGCGTCCTTAAAAAAGCCATCGTTTGCACAGGTTTGGAGTTTGCGGACAATGCCAAGCGTCCGGACGTGGCATAAAAGATTGTGCTTTTAATTTCTTCGGATTCTTGGGATAAATCAACAAATGTCTACTCAAAATACCAACCTTCCAGCACTTATTTTTACGCTTTCCTCAAGGCTTTCAGATTAACTATGACAATAAAGAATAGAACATAAAAAACTACCTAATGGTTGTTTCTTTCCTTTGGGACGTGTTTTGCATGTCCCATCCAATAGCAACAACATCCACTAGGATAAGAGATTATTTCTTTTGTAAACGATATGGAAAACCTCATTGTGCAACTCCTATTCTTTGGCCCAATTTTACTATCTGGGGATCAACATTTGCTCCTAGGGAGGAAATTCTACCAATCCAAAGGCGCTTTTGAAGTTATGGATCTAATGAATATTGTCGATTTCTTCTAAAATATCTCTTAAACTAGGAACAATATATATATATATATATATATATATATAGGTGAAAAATTAAAGCTTCCGCCTTTTGTTGGGTACTTCGACAAAATTTAAGCAAAGAGGACTCTTTATACTTTTTTAATTCTCTCTAGCTTTCAATGGACTTTGCCATCATCATCAGGAGCTGCAATTACAATGATAACAGTAGCAACAAAGGTGTAAACAAAGGTACACCTTTGTTGCTACTGTTATCATTGTAATTGCAGCTCCTGATGATGATGGCAAAGTCCATTGAAAGCTAGAGAGAATTAAAAAAAAGTATAAAGAGTCCTCTTTGCTTAAATTTTGTCAAGTACCCAACAAAAGGCGGAAGCTTTAATTTTTCACCTAACTGGTCTAGACGACAATGACCACGTCTCAAAATATATATATATATATATATACAGGGTGACTTCGAAGTTGAGTCATTTATTTTAACAGTGAATAGATCTGATCAAACGAAATGTTTTTTTCCTTTACCATTTTTCTGGTAAAATTAAAGTAACAAAGTTATAGCCCTTTGGAAGTTTGAGTACCGCCCTGTCTCAATATCATGTGCTCGTGTTTGGCAACAACGGATATAATCCGCCTTACCGGTTCATCGCATCGGAAACAAAAAAGCGAAAGAATTTGGAAGGATGTTTGTGTACAGTTTATTATTTTATTCAGTTCAGTTATACATACAGTCAGTGTCGCGTGTGAATAGTGTCTGTTTCGTGGCTCAAACGAAATAAAAAATGGCACATGTCTATGCGGATCGGTTTCCCAATCGAGTGCAACCAACCCCTCGTGCCTTTGTTAATGTAGTACAACGGGCTCGTGAATCAGGTGACTTAAGACCTCACAGGGGACCTCACGATCAAATACAGGTCCGCACTGAAATACTTGTCGGGAGGATACTTTATAAAACAAGGTAAACATTTTTTTTTTATTTTTTTTTTATTTTTACACACATATTTTGGTTTATCTTCCTTCTACAATCATTATCTGAAAATTAATGACTCAACTTCAAAGTCACCCTGTATATATATATTGTTGTATAGTATTCATAGTTAATTGTCTTAACTGTTAGGAGATAATATCCTCGAATTTCTTTGGGTAGAAGGCAAAGTATTGCAAAAGTACACTCTTATAACTTAAACTCTCAAGCATTCGAAGATCTATATGTCTTCATCGTCTGGAGCTGGAAACAATTATTAACAATAGCAACAAATAGCAATTAGGAGAAAAATATTTACTTACTAGGTCGGCGAGATTGTTGCTGAAATTGTTTTTAAAACAACAGTGAAGGGAACAACACATAGTCGACGAATAAAAAACTGGACTGATGAGGTTCGATTATGACGGAATTATTTTGTGGCAAATCATTTTGAAAGGTTTTGATTGATTTTGGAAGAAATTTGCAAATTTGAAAAATATCAACTATTGAATATATATATTATAATTCGTGTCAGGAGGGCCTCTAATCCTCATATTAAATCAATAAGTTCTTCTCAAATCACCTGGTTTTGCTACGAAAAACCTATTTTTATCTGATCTCACGACCAAAATTACGGAGATTTCTATTATACGACCACGTCAACCTAGGGGGCAAGTGTTTACCGCGTGAAGCTATTAATTAGTCGACTCGAAGGCTCTGGGTTTGAATCTCCGGCCTAGAAGTTAATTTCGAGCCATGTGATGTTGTTTGTTTTGTCCATATTACGCACCATATCGGTGCAAGATCAACATAGTACACCGCATCGCTAAGATGGTTGATTCAATAATCGGGTACCAGTAGATGACTTGTGGAGTAGTACAGTGTTGTTACTACGGGGCCGGCAAAAAGGGTCAGAGGTGCCCTACCTGCCAGGATTTGCCTACCAATCACCACTACTGCTACTGCTGTCATGTCAACCTACCACCCTATTCATATCTCGATCGCTGTTTCTATCCCTTTGTGGCTGCTGGTCCAGACATTTGGGGCCCGCTGACCAAAAGAAGCGCGGGAATAAGAAAATCGTGTGCCGATGTTTGAGATTTGAATATAGTATAGATGAATTTTTTGTTGTTTTAGGTGCTGAGCGCCTGCAGTCCCTATTTCCAAAGCCTGTTCTTCGAGAACCCCTGCCAGCACCCGATTGTCATAATGCGCGACATCAAGTGGCCCGAATTAAAGGCCGCAGTCGAGTTTATGTACAAAGGTGAGATCAACGTGTCTCAAGAGCAGATTGGACCACTTCTCAAAGTGGCTGAGTCTCTCAAAATTAGGGGACTTGCTGACGTTAACGGAGAACAGGATGTTGTTGCGCCTTCAGGTAAGAATTATACTTACATTACTTTCTTAATCTTTTTCGAAACATGGTATTCGATTTATTTAGGATTAAGCAAATTACTGATGGTTATTGACATCCTACATATTTAGAGTGTCAGAGTTAAGCAACACTCTTTTGACAATATATTTGCTCATTTTGATTTGACGATTACAAACCGTTTGTACCACTGGACTTTTTCCGATGTTACAGGTGACCTGACGGCCAGACCGAGCAGTGCGTCGAAGGCTGCCTCGACGCCCACGCCCAGAGAGTGGGGGGAGCGACCAGGCGGTGGTGGCGGCGGCGGCGATACAGAAGACAGTGGGCGGGCTAAAAAACGACGGCGCGTGAGTGGCGAACGCGGCAGCGGCAGCAGCGCGGCGAGCAGCCCTTGTGGTGCAGGGGGCGGAGTTGCGATTGATGGGGCGGGACCAGGTGTGGGGGTAGGGGTTGACGGACATCCTGACGCCGCTTCCTCTGCGCCGGCCACGCCCCAACAGCCGACAACTCCCCAGGCGCAAGCCGAACAGCCGCTCCAGCTCACGCTGCAACCAGTACAACCCGCCCAGCAACAGAATCAACAACAGGTAAAGGAAATATTCTAGTTATTTCTGTTTTTGATCTTTTTGGCGAACGCAGCAACGGCAGTAGCGCCGCAAACGGCACTTGCCGCACAGGGCCGGACTTGCGATCGATGGGGGGCGGGGTCAAGGGCAGGAAGATGAGTTGACGGACATCCGGATGCCGTCTTCTGTGTGCCGGCCACTGCCCAACAAGCTCACACACTGCAACCCGTGCAGACAGACGGCTTAGTAGTCCACAAAAATTAGGGAACTATTCCAGTTTTTACTGTTACTTAGAAAAATTAAAAAGTAAATGCTATATTTGAGCATGAAGGAGAAAAGGAGAAAGTACATCAGAGGTAGGTTAGCGGTAATCGTATATTGGTTATTTATGGTGGTTTCCTACGTCTCTATTCACTAGTGTCTTTTGTGTAAGTAGGACTGACTCTAGGAACTAGAACATGTTTGTGTAGGAAATGAAGAAAGCCGAAAGAAGGAAAATGATCGCTAGTGATATTGATGGTTCCCAGAGCTGTCCATTATGAGGGCGAACGGTGAGACCTGAGCTCTTGTATTATAGTGATTACTGTCAAGTGCTGTAATTTAGTGTAGGAAAGAAGGTAAGCTGAAACGAGACAAGAAGAAGAAAAGCCAAAGAATCTTTAGGAGGTGTGAACTTAGGCCTTATGTTATAGTGCTGTTTGTATGCCTGTAAGGTCTGGAATCTTAGAAACCAAGCCATAGGAAGGTAGGTAAGAGGAAAATAAAGAAGGGACGAAATGAGCCTAAATGGATCATCAGGAAGCGATGAAGCAATAATAGGACCTCAGATCTTGTGTTATAGTGTTGGTTCTAATGTGTATAAGATTTGGCAAACTAGGAACTAAACCAGCCTTCTGTACCAAAGTAGGTAAGAGAAAAATAGATTAGGACCGAGACCAGTAAAAGGGAATCTTTTGAGGCGTCGAGGCGATAGTGGAACTATAAACGTCATGTTCATAAGTGTGTAAGGTCTGGCACCAGTGGTAACCTAGGAACCAAACTTTGTTTACGAAGGAAAGTAGGCAAGAATAAAAGAAAGAAGGAATTGCAATATTACAGGAGATATCTTTTACCTTATCTTATTACGCTAGTTCGTATGCTTGTAAGGTCTGGAAACCTAGGAATCAACCCATGCTTGCATAGGAAAGTAAGTTAAGAGCAAAAGAAAGATATAATATGAGCCTAAAGGAGAATGTTCAAGAGACGATGAGTGGAGTGGGGTGGGACTTCAGAACCAAACCATGTTTGTGTAAGATAGAAGTATTTTTGCCAGTCTCCATCCTAAAATCGAATTGATAATACAGTTATATTAATATTTTCACACAATCTCGAAATCAACCTGAATCTGGCACGTAATTGCACCGAAACCGCGTAATAAATGGCTGATTTTTAATTCACCAAACCCCATGATTGACTCGTTTTGAGTAAGAAACAAAACAAGGAAGCGATTGAGATGGAGAGAAGGCGAACAGGCATCACATATCTTGATAATTCGATGACCTGCAATCCTCACACCGCTCTTTTATTTCCAGCAGCAACAACAGAATCATCACCAACAACAACAGCAACAGCAGGCTATAGTCGCCGCCGCCCACCAGCAGATGGCGCATTCATCGTCATCTGCGGCGACCATCGCGGCTGCCGCGGCGGCTGCGGTGGCGCAAGCTGCAAATACGGCGGACGATCTGGAGATCAAGCCGGGCATTGCGGAGATGATCAGGGAGGAGGAGCGGGTGAGTCGTACATCCCAACTAGCATTTTAAAAAAAGGGCTACTACCTATATTTGTCAAATTTTATCAATTATATCTTTGAATGATGTTCTCAAAAGTTGAATTGTTTTGAGAGTTGAAGTCTGTCAAAATTTGGTAACTCTTTCCAAATTAGGGCCCTAATAGACGTTTGACCAAGCGGTGGAATTGGTTGGTTCAAAACTCCTAAAAACACTTCTAAAAAGTACTTAAAGAATTATTGACCTCGAAGAAAAATTTAGAGCTTATGGCTTACCTTATATTAATCTTAAATATGCCCTCATTGTTATTTTCCTTTTTGGGCATATTAAAATTATGTTATTTATAACCAATAAATATTTCATTTGAGCTTGCAACATAGATTGGTAAAAAACAAGTCAATATCTTTACTAAATAACCTTTTGTACACTTTGAGGTTACAAGGATTGGTTTATTAAATGTTCGTTCATATTTCGACATTAACTGACGTTAAAGTCGATTACAAAAATATCTTCATTTTTATAGTCTAATCTTTCACTTCAATTTGGTTGCTCCCTCACTCTTACTGATGACTGTTTGGTTCTTGGTTGGGTGTTTCAAGTTGCAACGTGCTTGCCTAACGTGCTGGTGTCAGATTTAAATCTAATTTAGAAGATGTCTGATAATTTAAACCGGAAGAGGCCTAAGGTTTATACATGCCTCATAATACTACCGGGCTATCACGATTATTTTTAAAATGCGGATGGGCGTTCAATTCAGAAGTACTGTAGTAATGGTGCGTCCCGCTCAACATTTGGACTGAAGAATGCAGAGCGTAATTTTGAAGTGATTTTTTTCTTCTCCTACTATAATAGTGTATAAACCACCGAATTCTCAAAATCAAACAAATGCTTCTGATGAACGCACCCCGATACGACCACCTCTTTCTCTTTCTCTGGAGTAGACAACGACTGTAATTTAAAAAGAGAAAACGATTCCAGTCAGGATTTTATCCTATCGCGTACAACCAATTCGAGGTGAGATTGTAGTATAATTCAGCCACGAGAAACTGATAAAGCCTGCATACATCAATCTGACAATGTATTTAATATCAAATTGTTTGTAAAAAAATAAAAACCAGCCAACATAGTAAAACTATACTACCGGTTGGAATTGACAATAAAATATCCCTACAGGTCAAAATTCTGAAAACGGCTATATTTGGTATATTCCCTTGTTAATATCAAAGCATGAACACTAACATATTGTGTTACGTTACTTTTTCCAAAAATTCCGGTCACACAGAAACACATTATTTTGCGTATAATTAAAAACTTCGCGCCTTAAAACAAAGCGTTCTTATGATTTGAGGATATGTTATCATCGTATCTTCCTGATATTGTTAACAAAACTCGTTAATTTAGCTTATTCCTGTTGCCACATTTATCTAAAAAATTTCCTGCACTTATATATTAGATTGCGACCAAAAATCTAATTTCGAAATGGAATGGAAGCCATTTCTTTAACACTCTTGGCTATATACAAGTGCATTGCCAGATAATCTTATTTTTATTTTTAACCAATATGTTACCAACTGTATGTATGGGCAAGAGAGAGCTACATAGTATGTTTTCTTTGTTGTTAAATTTAGGTAAGACTCATCTGATTTTATAGGGCAAAATTACTACGATTTTACCATAAGATGACCCAAATAGTTGTTTATATCCTTCGAAAAATTAGTAATAAATGCCTCATCCACCTAATATTGACTTCTGAATTACATTCGTTTTATTTCTCACTTTGGGAAAAAGGTAAATGCTTGGAAGTAAACGTGACCTTTTTTTAATTGGTCGTACAACCTTTCTAACTTATTTTGTGGTCGATTTATCGTAATTATAACTTGAGATGTTTGTTGGGATGCATAACTACTTCGACTTATTATGCCGATTTGTCGATATAATGTGAACGCCTTATCTAGACTCGCTTCGACAAGTATCGACCGTGATACCATAGCCATCATAACGAAAACAAAAGAAATTAACGACTGCCATATAATTATTAAAATAAATAATTTTATTAGTAATTACGCGTGTACACAGTTCACAATTATAGCCAGCGAGTCGAGTTTCGTCGACGAGCATTCGTTCGCGGAGACTTCTAATTGTATACTCTTGTTCGAAAGCAAATACAACATTAAAATTGTAGTAATTCTCTTCCAGGCTCTTGCCTTCTCGCTCCCTACATTATGTTTTTATTGAAGTTCTGTTCTTTATTATTAACTTATACTCGGCACGTTGTTCATCTAGTGAGAGGTGAGACCCATTTTTATTTCCTATGGCGAGGAAGTTTTGTAATTGTAAAAATTTCGAAATTGAGATATGTTTTTTGGATATCATATGACATGTGTACATCGCGAAAAACCATGTCACTCATTTCCATCCGTCTGTCTAACTGTCCGCTAATTTTATAACCGCCTATAGGTAACTGCCAAGGTTAAAAAAGTTTTCCAAAATTGGTCTAGTGGTGGCGGAGAAAAAGACCAAAACGAAAAAAAATCGCTCAAACTTCGTTTTTTGATGTTTGAGATGGTCCTGATCATTAGCAGAAATTTTTTTGTAGAGGTTGAAATTTGGGGGTTAGGGGATGTAGGGGGAGTCTATGTGAGTAATTTGTAGTTTAGTTAGTTTATTATATTTATACCCTCCCAATCCCGTTAATTCTTTGTAAATATTAGCCATATTTCACACATCATAGATTTGTCCATACATTTGGTTTTAAGTCTTACAATGATTGAGAAATCTTTTCGATTCGTGTACTGGTGCCTATCAAAGCGAACCGCCTGGAAAACCAGTTCGGTTCATCAACGAGGTTTGTCTCGAAAGTTTCGACATTTTTTTCAGCCACAAGAAGAAGGAATTTCAACCGCCTGTTCCCGGATCGTGATTCGCCGATCTTCGAGTAAGATATGCTCAATCTTCGCCATAGCTCCCGCTTCGTTGTTCATCGTGGATATCCATGCGGCCGTCAAATAACTCTTTTCACCATTTGAGGACACGTTGAATGCTTATTCACGTTTCCCATATACTTTACTCAAATGATGATGAATTTCTATGGGTGCAAAAATGGATTACCGCACGGATTTCCCACCTGGCGGTGACGGCGATGAAGAGCTCCATTGCGCATGGCTGCCAGGCCGGTACTGAGCGTCGCCAATATGCGCTTCTTGTTGAGATCGTTGTTAACCTTATTTTTGAAACAACCTCGTATGTATTCGTACTGAAGCCCAAAAACCTAGGGAGCTTGCACGAACCGAAAGATAACTCTCTGCAGAGATGCCGCGCAGATGTGAAAAGGGACAATGTTGCCACATGGTCAGTAACTACCAGTAGGGCAGGGAAAGAATTGGATGAGCCTGTTTGACTGACTTAATACATTTAACTTATCTGATCTACACGTCCATAACTCATATAAACTGAAGACGGCGTGCTTAGGAAATGCAGAGTCAACCCACTTGACGCTATTTTCTGCTGCATAAAAGCAATTTTAATAAAAATCATTTTTCGTAAATTGGCGAGTGTCCTGTTTTGGACAAATCAAGTCAAAATTCAAACCATTTGTTTTTTTTTCAAGATTGCATTTATTTCAGAAATCTGACTCAATAACAATATTCGAAAAAACAATTGTGAAAAATGGCATTAAGTAGGTTGGCTCTGTACTTCCAATGCAATTTTGGATACATGGACTCTGAATGTGCATTACGTATTGTATCTGAGTCAAATATTGTAGGTAGATACTCTTTGGTATCGTTAAGTATTATATTATTCGCCGGCTATAAAAATCGTTGTACCTCAATATAAGACCTTAGAGTAGAATGAATATCATTGAAAAAAGTATTGTTGATTTGGAAAAGAATGAAATTATATACTTTGAATATGCATCATGCGCGATGTCAATAGAATGCATATAATTAAAGAAAAAGTATTGTCAGCTTATTTTTTTTTAAATTGAGGATAACTTTCGCAGGCTCTGGTATTATTACTTTTCGAAGACCATTATAAGTGTATATAAAGACACGCGGTAATGTGAGTTTGTTTGAGGAACATATACTAAAAATATATTTATATTTGCAGAAGACTAGTGAACGTGTATTCTTTATTTATTTTATTGAATTATTACAACCCTAATGTCTCATCATATCTGATTATTTATCTTCAATAAATCATCTTGCCCTGCCCTCTTCTGAGCTATTCAGGTAAATCATTTATCGCGTGTATTGTCGCCCAAGATACAGTAGCAGAGGCTAGCCCACATCTGCTTAAAAAAATGTTTCTGCAATTCTAAATCTTGTATATTTTGGGGGAAATCTTTGTGTAAAATATAACTTATAGGCGCGTAGAATACTATAATTCAAAGTTTGTAAATATACTACCGCTCAAAAATGCAGATACACCCTCCCCCACTACTTACAATCTTCCACCCACCAATGGCCCATTAAAAAAATCAGAAATAATTATGAACTTTGAGCGATTTTGTTTTCATTTTTTGCTCTTAGCCCGCTCCTGCTGGGCCTATTTTCAAAATCTGCAAAGCATTTTTGTCCTTGGCGTAGTGGTAACCTTGTTTAAAAATTTCATCAAAACCCTAGAGGTACTTTTCGACTTATCGACGGGACAAGGATTCGCGGACAGACAGACGGACGGGACTGAGTGACATGGTTTTTTTGTAGATGTCATCCAAAAAACATTTCATTTTCGAAAATTTTCGCGATTACAATAGTTCCTCGCCAATGGCGTGGGAAGTAAAAGCTTCAAATTGCCTTGGCCTTCTGGCCTAGTACGGTGGATAAAAAATCTAATGAAACCTGCATATATAGTTGAATCGCGAACAATAAGCAACCCACATTTGCAAGCAGGTATTTTTTTTTTTTTTTTTTTTTTTTTTTTTTTTTTTTTTTTTTAACGAGGGGGGAATGCATTTACGCACCATACCATAGCACGAGCTACGACGTGTGTGGGGCTCCAGGGTCTTGAAGAGATCACCTAATACCCACTAAACCCTAAACCTCCGC